AAAGATTTAGCTTCGATCTGGAAGTCTTTGTATATTTTTTAGCATTTCTTTAGCTATTTTTTAGCACTTCTCTCTTAACACACAGCATGATGTCTGTCATTTTAGATGCTTTTTATATATAATCTAGCAGGTTAGAGCAGTAAAAACATGACCTGAGACGTGAACAATGCTGCATCATTAACAATATATAACACCGTCAAGTTTGTTAAAAGTCCTGAGCTAATCTCAGACTAAAGGAGGAGCATTGTGTGTCTGGTTCTTAAGTCTGACGGAGGATGAAGAACCTCACAATGACTCTGCCGTGTGGGCTTAATATAGCCTCTCCGAACAATAAGGGTTCCTCTGATGCTCCTTATTAGGTAAGCAGAGACAAATAGCTATTGTTGGAGGCAGAAATAAATCAGCTCATCAGCAGCTTTGAAAATTGCAGATGTGAAGACATCAAGAAAAACTCATCAGAACAGAGAGATGAGCCAAACACACAAAAATAACTGAATATAATTGGATATCCTCCTTGTTTTTTCATTTTTAACTTCTGCCAAGTCGTATTACGTCAAGGCCACTTCAGTAGACTTAGACTTAGACTTAGACTTAGATTTGGACTTAGACTTGTACTCCCTCAGGAAATTAAAGTTGCCAACAGCTTACAGGTTAAAAAAGTGGCACACTGAGAGCAAAATGCAAAAAAAAAACAAAAAATACAGATTAAGTACAGGTACACACTAAATGTGAATAGCCAAAAAAATAAGAATATAAATATAAATACAATAATAAATATAAATAATAAATATAATAACAATATAAATATAAATACAATAATACATGTAAATAATACATATAAATACAATAATAAATGTAAATAATACATATAAATACAATAATAAATGCAAATAATAATAATAATACAATATAAATACAAAGTAAAAATAAAAACCCCTAAATTAAGCAAAAAAAGCAAAGTATAAGAATATAAACACAACGTGAAAATAAAGACCCCTATGTATGTTGTCCAAAAGAATTCTGACTATATAAAAACTGTTCCACAAACCCTGCTATTATGCACCGTCAGACACAAAGGCTTCATTTACTCCCCGTAATAGCACATATTGAAATGACTGTTTATCGGAGCCTGCCCCTGTTTAAAGTGATCCTTCTGGATCTGATGGAGAGCAGAGTCTGTCATCTGGAGCATCTCAGGCTGTTCGAAAAAATGACTGTCATGGATGAGAAGTCGGTTTAATTTCTAACTCCCTGTAAGGGTAGAGTTGTGTGCGCTATTGACTGGCCTTTCCTTTAAGTCGTGAGAAAAATGTAGGCACACTCAGCTTTTAAGAATGTATTTATGTACGTTTACTCAGTAAGATACAGTGTTGATTCGATCCAGAAAAGAGATTTGGAATATATAACAATTTTTAAATAGTCCAGTGTCCTTGTAATGGTTTATTACAAAAATTGTGAAGCTAAACACAGTTTTTTTTCTACATTAGAACACAGCCTTTATTTATAGGAAAAGTAATGGTAATTATGTAATCACAGTAAAATAATCTCACAGTTAATGAGAAATTTGTATTTATTTTTTTTACTTCAGGGCGTTAACATGTTGATCATTGTGTTTATTTTAAAATCTACAACCCTTTTTTGAGTTGTGGATTCATTATTGTGGATTGCGTAAATGTTAACCCTATAATGCTAAATGTGTCATATCTGATACGGTTTCTGAAGTCTTTTGGATCTGAGACTTTCTGCATCATTCAGTGGTAAAAGCTTTGCTCAAACCCCTGTTGTACACATTCAGATATACCTGATAACAGCCAGTAGAAGACTACACCAACATATATTTTTGACTTATTGCACGCTAATTTGATCAAAACAATTTCTGTTTTTTTTCTTCATATGTTGTTTAGGGGCCAAAGAAAGACTTCAGACTAAAAAAATCCAATATTCTTCCTATTTTTCTTGGATCGGGCTTTAAAGGGTTAA